GGGGGGGGGGGGCGGGGGCGGGGAGGAAGCTGTTTTTCCTCCCTTTCTGATGGTTTCCCGTCTACTCCAAAATGAAAAGCATTTGTATTTTTTTTTAAACTATAAAAATACATAAATAAAACACAGAGCAAGGAATTCGTAAATTTCCACATGGCTTTTATTTTCCCAAAATGGATTTCTAAAAGGTATGCCATGTAAACACTTTTATATAAACTCTCACCTTATAACCTGACATCTATATTACCCATAAGCACAGGGCATTTCTGCCTTCAGGGCACACTGTCGTCCGGACAAGAGAAGGAAGGGGGACCCAGGCTACACTGCACCGTTGGGTGTCTGCCTTTTGAATCTAGAGAAGGCTTTCCCATTGGGTGGTCTTCAGTATCCATTAGATAAAGAAAGAATCTATGGCTCGATACATTTGGGAAAAATAGATTTAAAGACTGATCAGCTTTCTTTACTTCTCAGATTCTTTAATATGCTGCTGTGTGTAGAGACTCTCCACAAGGTGATATAACGGAGATTCCAAAACAGTCAGACAGCAATCCTTCCCTACCCCCTACCCATCACCCACCCTGCCCCTGCTGGCCCGGGATGTACACATTCACATCATAGGTATTCTGGGGAATGTGCCTCGAGAAACTCTGATCTAGAATTAAATGACCATGTGCCTAACCAAGTGAGGAGTCCTCCCTACGTGGGCCCTATCCCTCCGCTCCCACATCCACCCCACCTGCACGTCCTCCCACAGCTGCCTCCATAAAGGGAGACCTCTGCCTCCACCTTCACCTCCACCCCACACCCCTCCGCCCACACCCCTCCCCTCCACCCACACCCCTAGACCACACCCCTCCGCCCAAGTCTAACTCAGGAGCCAGTAGGTCCAGCTGCCTATCCCCAGCCCCCCAACCCCCAGGGCCAGAGAAGGACAGTCACCCAACCTGCTCAGCAGCCACATTGTCAAGGAGGCTGAGGAAGTCTACTCCGTCATTACTGGCAATGCCCATCCCTTCCTTCACCTTTTGCAAATCCTCGGAGATTCCTGGCTGCAAACAGGCAGCCTGCCTCCGGCCTCTGCCAAAAAATAAAAAGGAAACCCTTATACTGTATAGTAATTAACAGTTTACAAAGTGTATCTCATTCATCATTTGGGATCTCATTTAATCTTCAATAATAAGACGTTTGGGGTTAGCTGGGTTTAGTCCCATCTTACACGAGTCAACTAAGGTTCTATGAATTCAAGTGACTTATAAAATAAGTTAACAGGTACCAGAGCTAGAATAATAGCCTGGATTTCCAAATTCCACTCTAGCATTTTCTTCTATTATACCCCAAATGATACAACCATGGCCCTGCAGTCTGCTTGAAAACAATATTCTCTGTCTTCTGTGGAACACATACTACATAGTCTTTGTGCAGCCCAGAAATATCTGAATGCTGAAAAGCGCCCTGAGCCCAAACCGAGCCATTCTACAGGGCAGCAAGCTGGTAAGAGTAGGGAAATCTGGGTCTTCTGCTTGCCCATGTGGATTTGCAGTTTTATGACCTGTTTCATTGCCTTCTACCTAACCTGACAGTTTCGTCGGCCCCCTCGGAGAGTCCACGATGGCCGAGAGGACAATAGTTTGTAAAGGCAAACCCAGCTCGGGCTGTTGGTACCAGCTCTCTGGCCCAGCAGGCGGCCTCCCGCAGGCTTGCTATACCTTCCCTAGAGGCCTGCCGCTGTGAGCAAGACCTTCATTTCCCGGACAGCGATGGCAGGCCTGAGTGCAAAGCAATCCTTCCCACCACTCACCCACCAACACAGTAAGCCTGGACAGGCCCTCAGGTTAGGCAGAGTCCTGCGAGCAGAAGTGCCACGAGGCTGGCT